GGGGGGAGAAACGAACGGGGGAGAACACGAGCCAGGGTGGACGAGAGAGGGTATGAGTGGGATGAGGATAGAGCAGATTCCGAGCTTCTCGCATTTCTTTCAGCACTCTCTGCGTTTGTCTTTCCTCGACCACGTTCGCGACGAAACGGCCCGCGGTCCTCTCGTAATTAAAGAAACGGAATTCTAACGACCTCCCTATCCAATCCTGCGTAACAACACTTGTCTCGAATGGCGCGAAGGTTTTACAAGCGTCGGATATTCGGCTTTAGAAACCGGGTGTACGTTTATACAAATCTCAAGTAGAGAAGAATCAGATTTCTAACGAGAAAGAAACCTTACCCTTCAACGAATGGAAATCATTAATGCGTTTATTTATATTCAAGAGCTGTGAATTATCCAAACCCAATAGATAACAACGTCGTTTTTTAATTATATATTTTTGCGCGATATAATTTAATAATAAAATAATAAATAAGAAAACACCACTAATACGCTAACATGTTACCTTTGATCCTTTGATAATAAAAGGAGCATAAGCGCGCGAGACACAGAGAGACAAAATATCGCTGTGGCGCTTAAAAAATCGCACCTTCGAATTTTGTATGCACCGCGATTGTTTCTACAGCAGCTTTTGCAGGAGCATCGCCATACAGCATGGGCGGTGCCAGCCAGGGCACCCCGACGCCGATGATGTCGCCGGCGCCGCCCGGAGGACCGCAAGACATGGCCGGATACAGCATGGGAATAAACGGCAGTGATTACGGCTCGCAGCCGTACAACGACGGCTCCATGGGATACGACCCGATGCATCAGGTAAATTTCACGTAGATCCTCCTTAGAGCACTCTCTATATTTATACAACCTCCTCTCGTTAGTCGATTCTCGTAGTTGATCAGTAATTAGTAATGCTTTTTGGAATCCGCGTTTACTTATATAGCATGAGCTTATCCTAGAAAATCATACGCTTAAGCTGTGGCTCGGAATTTGATCAAAAGAAAAATTTTGATGCAATGAACAATCCTAAAACAAAGAAGGTGAGGTTGAAGTGAAACGTTTTTACGATGAACTCTGTTGGGGATATTCCGAAATCATATCGAGTTTATGTATTTAGATTTGTGAATTTGATTATGTTATTATGGGTTAAAAAGTTTTATCCATTGTCATAATATTATTTGTATGTCAAATATTTTAGACTAATTAATTTTTTTTATATATTTTTTTTAGAAACTAGTATTTTTTTGACGAATATTTTGAATATTGAATCAGTAAATTTTGGAGATTTTATGTTATGGTTTTAAAAGTAGACAAAAACAAAGTTCTTTTTTCGCGATATTTTAGTCATATATATATATATATATTTTTTTATTTTTTTATTTATGACTGATTATAGAAAATAAAATTAAACAATGATCAAAGATTTTGTTTCTTTTTTTATTATGATATCTAATGTCATTGTTTAATGTTCCTTGCATTTGTTTGATGCTGTTTCTGCATTTCTAACGTAAATCTTTCCAGTATTGTCAATCGCAGATCTTATTTCTTGAATGTTCACCTCTTTCCATTCGCGGAAGCTACGTATAAACGTATGAAATTATTACTAGAGTCCGCTACTCGCTTCTATGCAATTCCAAGCCACGGCATTGCATCCCGATGAATGCATGCGCATCTTACCTTCCGCATACTCACACTCACTACGAGAGAGAAAGAGGAAGAGAAAGAAAAAGAGCGTGAGAATGATATCGCGAGAGAAAAGTGAGAGAGAAAGGATACCGGTGAAGGAATGTGCTTGAGCTTCAGAATGGGTATGATGCCATATACAGGGATTCTTGACTAAAACAACCCGAATGCATAAAAAAAATTTTATGGACAAAGTCTTCTTTTCTCCCTCGACTATTTTTCGTATCTTCGCGATTTTTCAGATTCTAAAACAACCCGAATGCATAAAAAAAATTTTATGGACGATAATGTTTGATTTCGAAAATTATTACGCGATCGAAAAAGTCGTCTTTTCTCCCTCGACTATTTTTCGTATCTTCGCGATTTTTCAGATTTGCTACAATATATTTTCTTTTATTTTCGTAGTTGAAAATACTTACGTTTGAGAAAGCCAATTTGCTTAAAGGATCAAAATGTACGCAAACTTGAGGATTTATTCCGCGTAATCCCTTTTATTGCCCTGTATATGCGCATACGTGTATGCGCGATTAGATATGTGTGTATGCGTGCGTTGCTGGGTTATATATATACATATATTAGGTTGAATACGTTGTTGCTGTTGGCCCGTGAAGATGGGCGCCGACAGTCGCGATGCGAAAGATGTGTTGGATCGGGTAGGGGCCGCCTAGAGACTTGCACAGATACAAACACACACGTACACCATCCACACAAGCTAGCAGCCGATATAGCGCCAGGTTTGCTTAGTATGCATTGGAGTTGCTAAGTCACTTTTTAGGCAGGGCTGGCTCTCTCACATATTAATGGAGCTGGTGGATGCGCGTCGCCGCGCTTCTAACGAGTCGCTAGCATTCCCGCGATGCAACGCAACGGAGCGAATTTAGACGAGAGGGAAAATTTTGCGGGGCTCCTTCGGTGTGTCATACCCGGTAGTATCAATCTTCCGCAAGTCTGCTTCAATTTATTCCTCCTTTGAATATTCTCTTCGCGTATAAATCGTTATCTTCTTCCTTTCTCATTAGGTTCTTCCACAATTTCGTAAATTCGTTAGAGGCAAGTCTGGACTCAGTTTCCTAATTCACTCCTCTTTCTCGGTTTGTTTAAGTATGTAGGCGTTTTTATTCGTCAAACTTTTTTTTATCTTTTTGTAATTTTTTTTCTTAACGAAGAATATATCTTATCGCAATTGGCAAAATTAGTATGCGTGTGCTAATTTCCGACGTTGCAATATCTTCTCGTGTAATACTTGGTTCTTTTGCGGACATAGTAAATTTCGCTGACGTACAATTTCAACAATGTCACATGGCATAGAGTGACGTTAAATTAAATTTGCGGGTAAACACAACGAGCTGGAGTATTTGGCAAGCCCGGTAGGGGATTCCTGTAGGAATTTCTAGCCGGCGGATCCAATATCTGACATGTCGATACGTTGATCACTTGTCGATGTTTCGCTTCGACTACAATTCTATCGCCAAATAAAAGAAAAAGTATCGTCAACATTCGTCCGATAAATTATCTGTCGGAGAACTTATTTGATTCAAGTTTAGGATTACAAAAGACCGGAATTGAATGATTGTTAATAAAATTATTATTAGTTGATTGCAATAATGTATTGTTTTTCCAATCTATTTTTTTTTTTGTCGATAAATATATATATTCGATTTTGGAAAATATTTCAAATTTGCGCGTGAAATCGATACTATTTTAAAAAACTTGAAAGGAAATTAATTTCGTGGTTCATCGGGATCATCCCGAGACTTTTCCAAGATCGCGTAGAACGGGGTGTCCCTCTCTGCAAAGGTTGAAATGAAGCGACTAAAATGCATGCTCGTAGCTGCGCTGTTCCGCAGTCACTTCCGGCTTCTGTAGTTTCTCTGCTTCTCTATCGATCTGAAACGGAGCCCGCGTCTTTTTCCTTACTTTCTTGTTAGACGTTAAGTTCCATCAGTTTTATCGTTCGATCGATGCTTTTTCGACTCGGAGAGAAACATATCACGTAGCGAATTTACGAATCGCAGGAAATTTTCTTTTTAACTAGTTTTACAATAAACCGTCTCCTTTTTCACGGTAAAAGAAAATTTTTTTATTTAGCCGACCACAAAATTTTTAACTCGTTTTAGCAGAAAGAAGGAAAAACAGGTTTCTAGGTGGTTTCTAGGGCATGTTGTGTGTGTTTATCAGAAATATCTTTAAAAAAGTATTATTTCTGCTCCACCTAAATTTCTAGTTTCAATTTCGGAAAAGCAAATACACAGAGCACAACAAATACGTATCGACACATTCCGTTCTTGAGTAAAGTACGACTCATAAGTAATGTCTCTAATTTAATCAGTTGCTTTCAACGAGATCGAAGCGATTTGTGGTTGTACGTCGATCTTGCCGATTTCGTCAATTTCAACGTTGCGTCGCGCATATGCGATCGACTCTGACGGCAAAGTTTTTAATGAATCCTCTTTGACGCTGAGCTGGCACTAACGTTTCCCGTAATCGCATACGTAACAAATGAGCAATCGCTTTGTACACTCTCTTACATGAGCACAAAGAACTTCTCTCACACGCCGGCCAATTGACTTTTAACATTATGCACCGGACAAAGTAATAATACACTTATATATTCCATCATTACTATCTTATCACTGCCTCTTTCGTTTTGTATCCGCCGCTCCTTTCCCCTCTTCTTTTAATCTCGTTCTAATCAGCTGTTGGTTGGTATTTCGAGTCTAACAAGTAACAATAAGGAAATATGGAACTGTGTTTGTCGCAAGAGAAGATCGGACCGAACTCGCGACGAATTTGTCGAAGAGAAAATGTTTCTTTC